ACAGAGACAGAGCTGTTCAAAGAGTCACAAACATTAACAGAGCTCAATCTTCTCATCAGAGAGAGGCAGCACCTGGGACAGAAACAACTTTCAGACAGCGCACGCCTTGCCCCTGCCTACTTACAGCTAAGCACAGCATGTGAACTGGAGAACTAAGATGAACACAAACATTCGCTCCAGTAGATCCCCAGATCCAACCATTTACAGAGGAGGGACTGGTGTGGTGGCAAAGGAAATTGGTAGCTCATCTGACACGGAAGCAGGCATCCCTTTCCTTCTGGATCACCTAAAGCAAGAGTGGTAAACACCACAGTAAATAAACTGCATAAGCTAGTGTCCTCATAGGAGGGAGAACATGAGCAAGGAAGTCAGGACCACAATGGGTACATCCACCCACTGAGACGGTGGAACTGATCTAATGGGAGCTCACCAAGGCCAGCTGGACTGGGAGTGATGGAGCATGTGATCAAACTGGACTCTCTGAATGTGGCTGGCAATGAAGGCTGACTGAGAAGCCAAGGACAATGGCACTGGGTTTTGATTCTACTGCATGGACTGACTTTGTGGGAGCCTGGTTTGTTTGGATGCTCACTTTTACAGACCTGGATGGAGGGGGGAGGACCTTGGACTTCCCACAGGGCAGGACACCCTGACTGCTCTTAAGACTAGAGAGGGAGGGAGAGATGGGGAGGGGGAGGGGGAAGGGAGAGGAAAAAGGGAGGCGGGGAGGAGGTGAAAATTTTTAATAAATAAATAAGTTAGATGATAGATAGATAGATAGATAGATAGATAGATAGATAGATAGATAGAGTCCTCATCCAAGGGGGGAACAGAACTCCTTTGTCCTCCAAACTGCTACTGGACAAGGCAGCAGGGAAAAGATGCCTCATTCCTCCTGCTCTTCTGCACTGCCTGACCAGGGACCACGGGGAGACAGCCTGTGGTTACCCCAGCAGCCTCTCTGCTTTACATGTCTGGCTGCAATGTCACTGTTCCCTGTCTACTACCTTCTGCAGTGCCTATGCTGAGAAGCAGCTAAGCTTCACATGCAACTCCACACCAGTGCAGAGGAGCCCAGCGAAACCCACTGAAAGGCGTGTCCCTGGAACCCAGCACTGAACACCAAGCCCTGTACGAGATGGTTTCTCTCCCTCCCCCACATTTGTTCCTATCCAGGTGATAAGGACAAGCAGAGAAGTGAGACTGCCCACAAAGCACAGAGAGCAGGAAAGAGTGGAAGAGGGAAGGGTGAAATGGAACTAAGAATGAGAGATGACATCTGGAAGGGTCTGCAGGGTCCCCCCACTAAGTCCCTGAACCCCTTCAAGAGCCCAGTCATTTAAAGCACTGACCCTCTTGGTGACTTCACAGAGGAATGAGACCCAAGAAGCCCAGATCCCACTGCTTTCTCCAGCCCAGTCAGCCAGCTCAGTGGGTCTCAAACATCAGTGTTTGAGGAGCCCTGCCTTCAGCTGGTGCAAGGCAACACCCACAGATCTCAATTTTTACAAACGTGAGCCCCATTCTTGGAGAAGTCTTTCCTATAATCAATAGGAGGCTC